AGCACTGGGTGATAAAAGGAGAAAAGGGAGCAGCCAGCATAAAAGAGGAAACAACAACCTCAAATCCTCCAAGATATGCCAAAAAATAATAATGAGAATTCGGCGCTATAACATATTCATGGTGGACAAATAATATCACAAACAACAGGAATTTAGTCTTGAGTATAGTTCATGAGGTATGGCGTGACATTAGTGACACAATAGGCAACACTTAGCTTTCGTGACTGTTCTGGCTGAAAAAATGAGCGTACTATGCACTAACCAGATAGCACAGATTATTGTGCGTTAGAGTATATAAGACCTACTCCTAGGTACTCAGGGGGTAGGAACTCTGCATGCGGATGAAGTCATCAGGTGGGGGTATATCACCAGGTGTCATCTATCCAGGGCAGGTTTCCTCTCTCCATCAATGTGTGAACATCTTAGGTTAGCTGCATCCAGCAGTACATATTCCAACCATCAGGGGGATCTTACATTCAAGGGAAGGGGGCTCAACGTGCCAAAAAATGAGCCCAGAAGAAATAAAACTCCAATAGTGTAGTATGTTTAATGATCAAAAAGGGGGATAACATCAAGATTCAGATAAAAAAAGGATCAACATTACATCTGAGCTAAACAATAGGTCATGCAGTCAGTATTCCATGAAAAAGGGTACCTCACTAACGCGTTTCGTGTAATAACACATTTTCAAAGGGGCCTAAGAGCCTAAGTAAACATGCCAATTTTTAGCAGTGTAAGGGAGTAGATACAGAGGGATTTATTAGCTGAGAATTATTTTTCTCCCCATACTAGAAAACAGTATTGCAAAAGTAGCCTGATAAGGAGGTCAGATGTAGATCAGAAGTCAGAAGATACGCATTTCAAATTGATCTCAAAGGCATGCTGTGTATGTACATGAAAGAAAGCTACATTTGCTCATCTATGCAAGCCCTTAAAACAACAGTGATCACTCTAGTAAATTCAGGTAAAGGTCACAACATAGCACAATCTCAATCGGTTCTAGAGGTCCTGCAATTCAGAGTTTAAACGATAGCCCCAGTCCTGAGATATTTCTTCCTCAGTTAGTAAAAAAAACAACTACCAAGCAGAGAGGCTAACGCACTTTGGGTTCTCAGTGGCCGAGGGCTGAGTCTAATTCTGTGGGAAAGAAGAGTTCTTCAATTAAATAGACTAATGTCCCTTTAACTGCAGTTTCTGATCTTCTGCGCACTCAATGGGGCCCTAGTTGATGCACATAAGGATTCAAATCTTCTTTGATGCAAAAGGTAGAAGTTCCTTAAAGTGTTACTAAACCCACAACAGTAAAATCAGTCTGTATATGCAATAAAGCATGCTTGTTATACTCACCGTGGAACCTAAGGGGTTAATCCTCTGCATTGTGTAAAAAGGCTGTTTGATTCTTTCTTCTCTGCTCCTCCTCTTGTTGAAATGACCACCTGATACAGACAGAATCAGTAGTCACATGCACATGCTCAGTTTGGTGTGTATTGCTAGAGATGTGTTTTTTTTTTTCTTGGGAGAGTGCATGTGATCAGCACAGGACCAATCAGCACTGTCCAGACAGAGGGTCAGGACTTTCAAATCCTCCTAGAACAGAAAGAAAACTCCCCCTTCAAGCTTTAACCAGTGCTCTGCTTAAGTCACAAGACTGCTCTAACTTCTGATGAGAAAAGGTATTTAGCAGTTTATATTTACTAAAATAATTCCACTTCCATGTTCTGTGTACTGTGGGAGACCAGATATAGTGAATGCAGGGTCCTGGGTTTAGTATCACTTTAAAACAGCGTTTTTACACAGTGCAGAGGATTAACCCCTGAGGTTCTACAGTGAGTATAACAAGCATGCTTTACTGCATATACAGGCTGATTTTACTGTTGTGGATTTAGTAACACTTTAATTCGCTCACCTGATTCATGGTCTCAGTCAGGTGGTGGGAAGGTCTCTCTGTAGACAGGGGCCCCTTTTTCCTTGTGGTTCCTTCTTCAGAAATCATTCTGGACAAAAGCACTCCAGCTCGCCTGCTCACAGGGCTGTCCTCAAGACTTGTCAGCGGTGTCGGCGGGGTCAGCAACTCTTAGTTACATACTTAGTCTGGCTAAAAAAAGACAAAAGTCCATCTAGTTAATCCATTAAAAAAGTTATAATCCTATACCCACAGTTGATCCAGAGGAAGGCAAAAAACCCAGCAAAGCATGATTCAATTTTTTCCTGCCGGGGAAAAAATTCCTTCCTTATCCCCTGAAAGGCAATATTCCACGGATCAACTTTACCAATAAAAGTTAGTATCCAGTTATATTATGTGTATCTAGGAAAGAATCCAGACCTTTTTTAAAGCAATCCACGGACCAGAACCAACTCTTGAGGGAGTCTATTCCACGTTTTCACAGCTCTTACTCTGAAGAACCCTTTCCATATTTGGAGATTACATTTCTTTTCCTCCCTTGTCCTCTGTGATGACCTCAAAGTGAATAACTCCATACCGAGTTCACTATATAACCCACTGATGTATTTATACATGTTGATCATATCCCCCTTAATCTCCTCTTCTCAAGAGAGAATAAATTCAGTTCCTGTAATCTTTCCTCATAGCTGAGCTCTTCGATGCCTCTTATCAGTTTAGTTGCCCTTCTCTGTACTTTCTCCAGTTCCCCAATGTTCCTTTTGTGAATTGGTGCCCAAACCTGAACTGCATATTCCAGATGAGGTCTAAATACATATTTAGTTTTTGTACATATACTAAGGTATATAGCAGTGTTTCCCAATCTTTTTTCCCCCTTTAAAATTATGCACAATCATGAGGAACCCCATTCTAAAATGTAAAAGCTAAACTAACAGTTTTACATAACACAGTGGCAATCACACACGTAGGAGACCCAACATTAGAGGGGATTTATTTTTCCAAAGCAAATAAACATTTGCACATTGGTATTGACTAGGATGCCAATGTTTCTCTTCTCCCTTGGTTTCTTTCCCTCACTCTGTTAATGTGACCCCATTGCTGACAGAGAGACAGAGAGAGGCAGGGGAGGGACAAACAAGGATGCTGTGCAGGCGCCCAACGTCTTCCTTATTAATTGATGACCTAATTGATTGTTAGGGCACTTGCAGCTGAAAGGTTTTAATAGTGCACAAGGAAACCTGTGGCTTTGTGTTTCTAAAATACAGGCTTCATCCACTCAATGGCTTGTATACAGTTTTTGGACAATTTTTAGGCATTTTGCTAAGGCACCCCTGAAGAAACCTGAAGGCACCCCAGGGTGCTTGGGCACCCTGTTTAAAAAAAAGCTGGTATATAGTATTTGCATATAGTATAGTAAATAACTGGGTTCAGTCAAATATGGGTGTGTCGTTAGAAGGTGTGATCAAATAGAGCCAGACCTTTCAGCTTTTGTTTCAAGTGGTGGTGTTTTGGGATTTGAGTTTAACTTGGGGGTATTTTATTTTGATAGAGCCACCTTTTTTGGTTGAAAGTATTTCCTTTCATATCAGGGGTTGTATTTTGTGGTTTCATGTTCTTGTGTGTGTGTGTGTGTTTTTTTAATTCTTTTATGTTGATAGGTTTTTTTTTAAAAGTTTTTTTTTGTTTTTTGTTTTTTTTTTTAGTTTGGGGTGCTTGAGGAGCATTCACTCTTTACTGTCTATCTGTTCCCTAAGATGCTGTTTGTGTAAAGTACTCTGCTGCATCATTCGAAAAGAAATAAACTAAGTGCAAAAACAGTGTACACCTAAACCACCTCACATTATATTACTTACTTTCTATGCACCCCCTTTTTCCACACAGAGTAAATAAAATTTAGGCATACACCAGTAAGACCTATTATATTAAATTAGTCCTGCTGCTGGCCAGTTTTACATTGCTGTATCCTTTTGCAGTATCTTAGAGAAGATACTGGTCCTGCTGATGGGTTAAAGACCTTCTACAGCTCTGTCCAACTCTCCTAGATTAACTGCCTGTCTCCTGGAATCTCCTCCATGCTCTTGAGACTGTGCTGGGAGACACAGCAAACCTTCTGGCATTGGCACATATTGATGTGCCGTCCTGGAGAAGTTGGACTGCCTGTGCAACCTCTGCAGGGTCCAGGTATCGCCTCATGCTACCAGTAGTGAAACTGACTCTAGTCAAATGCAAAACTAGTGAAAAACAGTCAGAAAAGATGAGTAAGGAAAAAATGTCACTGGCCTCCACCTGTAAAGCCATTCCTGTTTTGGGGAGCATCTCATTGTTGCCCATCTAGTGCACCGTTGTTAATTTTATTAACACCAAAGCAGCTGAAACTGATTAACAACCCCCTATTCTGCTTAACTGACCAGATCAATATCCCAAGAGTTTAATTTGACTTGATGCTATACTCTGATTAAAACGTGTTCCTTTAATTGTTTTTGAGCAATGTACATATCAGCCAATTTTACCTCTTTACAAATGTCCTGCAGCTGGCCAGTTTTACACTGCTGTATGATTTATGGTCTATTAATTCTAGGTCTCATACACATGGATGATTTGAGAATTAACTTACTTGAGCTAATTTTTTTTTGTTTTCTTGTTCAAGTACAAAACATAATAATATGACAATAGAAACATACTGTCAAAATCTAAAAGTTTAACATGCCCAAGGTATGAAGGCTTAACGTATTTGCGTGTACATGTTTATACCAATGCACAAAAGCATCAGCATATACCCCAGTATATGCACATAAAACTATTCACTTCTTTAGCCAGCTGTACTGCCATCATTCTAGCCTTCTGGCTGGGATGGCAGGCTGTAAAGTATCCCTGCTGGTATGGTGGGGGTCCTGAGAACCTCCATATGGGAAAGAAACCTCCTAAACATCCTTAGATTCTTTGGACATTTTCCCTCATTAGTCTCTTATCCTGTAAGCCCTTGCTCTTGTCTTTCTTCCTTGAGTTTTTCTCATACATGTGCATCATTTGATTGAATATTACATGATCTAAAATAAGTAATCTTGACCAACTGTCTTTCAACAACCATACCAATGGATACTTGTCAACTTTATGAAATAATATTTGAATACCTTAACAATAATACCAGATGTGATATTTGTATTATGCACTACCTTCTGAATTAGCAATGATCAGAGAGGATTGATGTATAAATAATAGAAACTAGCATTAGATATACAGGCAGGGGCGGACTGACCATTTGTAAATTCAGGCACTGCCTGAAGGCCCAGGGTAAGTAGGGGGCCCCATGAGATGCCCCTGGTACCTTTTTCATAGGCTTTTTTAACTTGGGCAAGGACACAGGGGCCCCATGATCCCCTATTGCCCAGGGGCCCCATGAGTTGTCAGTCCGCCCCTGTATACAGGTATATCACTTTTGCTGACTCCATGTATCTACTATGTACAATATGATCAAAAATATACAGCAGAGATAATGTACCTTTTTATACAGCTATATTTTATCTTATATCTTTCATTATAACCTTTCTAAAACGGTCCGGTTGGTTACTAGAGATTCCTGCACATTGCCTTATCAATTAGGCTTTCTTTTGTATCATACTTTTTTCACATATATTGACTGTGCAGCTTAAGATGACTTATCTGTTGTGCAAAAAAAAGCAATCATATGTCTGGCGTGGACCTTGTTAGGGAGAACTTGAGAGATATACATAGAGAGAGAGCACTGCACATTGTGCCAGCTGACTAGGGAGTTACACTTCATCATTCATTGAGCTATAGAACCTCTTCACTGCAGGCAGTGCATTCCTATTGGCTAGTCAGGCTGCCCATCATATGATGGGCCAGAAGGAATGTGTGTTAGGGAGGCTTAGCAGCAAGCTCTGACACTATAAGGAAGTGTCAGAGCTTGCCTGTCAATTCAGCATATTCAACTGTTACAGGGGGGTTGAGAGACTAAAGCAAGTGCTTGCACTTCGTTCCTACAGCAGTTATCCTTCCAGATTTTTTACCATTCAATTTATTAGATTGTACAGTCATATTGTAATATTTATGGTCATCTTTACTCTCTGACAAATTTATACCCTGTATCTACTAAGTTTAGGTTGAATGGTACAAAGATCAAATAAGTTAAAAAAGATTTAAAAGGATTGTAGAATGGCCAGTTCTACAACTTGGATAGATTCAAATGTTTCAACTTTCCATTCAGTCTTGGTCAATTTCTAAGAATACAGTGCTTTTAATTCCATGTGAGCCTGCCGCCATATTTATTTTTATTTTGTACAATTCTATTTAAAGTGAATTGATTGTACCATACGACTAAAACTAACAAATACATATCTTGCACATACCTTACAAAAGGAAATTAAAACATAGATGGGTTCTGTAGCAACCCACAGATTTTGCTGTCAAACAATTTGCAATATAATATGTCTCCACACACTTTCTTCTTAATAAACACATGTTATACCGTGTAACATGAAGCACTCATAAAAATATTTGACTCTTAAATGTGCTTTCTAATAAGGTGTAACAGCATATTATATTCAGTCCTCATTATAATATCATGGTCTCTTACTTAATAGTTCTTGCTAATGGTAAACCATATGCACATTTAGCACTTATTTATGTGTGAAAATTCTGTGCACCCATCTTTAGCCTGTGATTTGGTACTGTCTTTAGGTAATCCTGTCTTTAGGTAATCCCTCCAATATCTCCTATTGGTCCAATTTGATTTCATATACACTATATTGCCAAAAGTATTGGGACACCTGTCTTTACACACACATGAACTTTAATGGCATCCCAGTCTTAGTTCATAGGGTTCAATATTGAGTTGGCCCACCCTTTGCAGCTATAACAGCTTTAACTCTTCTGGGAAGGCTGTCCACAAGGTTTAGGAGTGTGTCTATGGGAATGTTTGACCATTCTTCCAGAAGCGCATTTGTGAGGTCAGGCACTGATTTCGGACGAGAAGGCCTTGCTCACAGTCTCCACTCTAATTCATCCGAAAGGTGTTCTAACGGGTTGAGGTCAGAACTCTCTGCAGGCCAGTCAAGTTCCTCCACCCCAAACTCGCTCATCCATGTCTTTATGGACCTTGCTTTGTGTAGTGGTGCACTGTCATGATAGAACAGGAAGGGGCCATCCCCATAATTCCCCCTCCACCAAACTTTACACTTGACACAATGCAGTCAGGCAAGTGCCGTTTCTCCTGACACCCACCAAACCCAGAAACATACATCAGATTGCCAGAGAAGCATGATTCGTCACTCCAGAGAATATGTCTCCACTGCTCTAGAGTCCAGTGGCGGTGTGCTTAGTGAAGTAAGGCTTGGTTGCAGCTATTCGGTCATGGAAACCCATTCCATGAAGCTCACTATCCACTGTTGTTCTGCTAATCTGAAGGCCACATGAAGTTTGGAGGTCTTTAGCTATTGACTCTGCAGACAGTTGGTGACTTCTGTGCCTCAGCATTTGCTGATCCCGCTCTATCATTTTACGTGGGCCTACTACTTGCTGTTGCTGTTGTTCCCAGTTGCTTCTACTTTGTTAATATACCACTAACAGTTCACTGCGGAATATTTAGTAGCAAGGAAATTTCCATGGATGGACCTATTGCACAGGTGGCAACCTATCATGGTACCACGCTTGAATTCACTGAGCTCCTGAGAGCGACCCATTCTTTCACAAATGTTTGTAGACGCAGTCTGCATGCCTTGGTGCTTGATTTTATACACTTGTGGCCATGGAGGTGATTGGAACACCTGAAACCAATGATTTGGAGGGGTGTCCCAATACTGTTGGCAATATAGTGTGCTTTCAGGCTTATTGTATGAACAGCATAATTGGTGTCAGCGTGTGCAGAGGATGATAACTCATAGTAATCAAAAAGATTTTAGCTTATTTGAATGGTAGGGCATTGTGGTGACCCTGGGTCTTGATTTGAACCCTTGCACAGAACTAATGCTGACATAATTGTATATGTACAGTATATTGTGGGTTTTTTTATGTAGTATTTTAAATGCATGTGTTAATTTGTAGGTGTTTACTAACAGAACGTTTTCAAGTTGGCATTAAGGACTATTTAAAGCCACTACATCAGAGAAGGCATAGATCCATGTGCAGAGCAAAAAGATTCTCTTAGAGTGTTTTTTCAACTGACACTTGCGAACGTGAGCTTTCCGATATTGTGACCGCTGTGACAGCCAATCACGGCGATCACATGATCATATGATCATAAACCCTGCCCCACCTCCCAGCATAAGAAACCTCTAAAAGGGCCGTGAGGCTCAGCGTTTATGTGTTAAGATCTTTTCAATTTATACTATAGATTTTGATCACTCTTGGGTCACATTCACAGTTAGTGATTTGGAATTGCAGGCAGAATCAGTGTGCAGGCAGAATCAGTGTGATTCACACAAAAACGCATGTGAATCGCTAAAAAAAACTGTGAAATAGAACGCGCATTCCTGAAATATGAACATGGCCTTATGCATGTGCGTTGTTTCATTAATTTGACATACCACAATGGAACAAAAATTGTGAGTGTGGCATTTTCTGCAATGCTTGCAATATACGTTAGTGTATTAACAGTCCTTACACTGCACTGAATCGCACATCCATCTGCAGGGTGCGTTGGGGTGCTATCCAGAATGCATAGTACTATATCTCACCAAAGCATGTAATGAGCATTGTCGGTGTGAATGAGCCCTTAAACTTTTTCTTAACTAATCATTATCAGCTTTTCAGTAGCATTTCATTATCCATCTACCTAAATGTAAATAAAATAAATGTGCTTATTGCCTTTTTTTGGCTGTGAAATAAAACATAACTGACAGAAATGATTGCTTTTCAGTACATTACTCAGATGTAGAGAATATTGATTACAACTTGCAATTAACCCAGCACAAATCCTGGATTGCATAGAGGTGATAATGATATGCATTTCTCTGAAAGAACAGGAAGCATGGGACATAAAAGGCAGAGAAATACATGTATTTTCATGTAGGCTGTGTATTTCTTATTATAAAAGAATATTATTGTAAGATGGTGGCATTCCCAATGGCAAAATTACAGCCACAGCAACTGACAAAGACTGGCAAAGAAAGACCAGTAAAAGAGGAATGGTTCTTTTTCATTTTTTCTATTGAATATAATGGCAATTATGTATATTTTCAGCCTGTGAAGAATCAGTACACAAAGTAAAAGAGTAATAGTTCTTTTTCATTTTTTCTAATGAATATAATGGCTATTACGTATATCTTCAGCCTGTGAAGAATCAGTACACAACGTAAAAAATAATAGTTCTTTTTTCATTTCTTTTCTGTTTTTTCTTCAGTCTGTGAAGAATTGGTGCACAAAGGTATCCACAATGAACAGCAAATTTTATACAATGTAGTTTTGCTTTTAGGCCATTAAAGTGACTGTATGGTGACTTTGTATGTAATTACTTGCTTTATTTATTATGGTCAGAATTAGAGATGAGCGAATTTCTCAAAAATTCGATTCGGCTGATTCGGCGAATTCCAGTGTGAAATTCGATTCGATGCGAATTTCTTCGCTACGAAGATGACTTATAAAAAGGGTTTCTAGGCTTCAGAGAGCCTTTAAATTAGTGCAGAACACTGTACCTTTAATTAAAATGCCCTTGGAGATGAGGAAAGAGAAGGAGAAGGAGAAGGAGAAGGATGAGAAGAAGGAGAAGGATGAGAAGAAGGAGAAGGATGAGAAGAAGGAGAAGGAGAAGGATGAGAAGAAGGAGAAGGAGAAGGATGAGAAGAAGGAGAAGGAGAAGGATGAGAAGAAGGAGAAGGAGAAGGATGAGGAGAAGGAGAAGGATGAGAAGAAGGAGAAGGATGAGAAGAAGGAGAAGGAGAAGGATGAGAAGAAGGAGAAGGATGAGAAGAAGGAGAAGGAGAAGGATGAGAAGATGGAGAAGGAGAAGGATGAGAAGAAGGAGAAGGAGAAGAGATGAGAAGAAGGAGAAGGAGAAGGATGAGAAGAAGGAGAAGGATGAGGAGAAGGAGAAGGATGAGAAGAAGGAGAAGGATGAGAAGAAGGAGAAGGATGAGAAGAAGGAGAAGGATGAGAAGAAGGAGAAGGATGAGAAGAAGGAGAAGGAGAAGCAGAAGGAGAAGGATGAGAAGAAGGAAAAGGAGAAGGATGAGAAGATGAGGAGAAGGAGAAGGATGAGAAGAAGGAGAAGGAGAAGGATGAGAAGAAGGAGAAGGAGAAGGATGAGAAGATGGAGAAGGAGAAGGATGAGAAGAAGGAGAAGGAGAAGGATGAGAAGATGGAGAAGGAGAAGGATGAGAAGAAGGAGAAGGAGAAGGATGAGAAGAAGGAGAAGGAGAAGGATGAGAAGAAGGAGAA